AACACATTCAGTCATCCTTGCAAGTAGGAAATGGCATGACCTCTTACTAGGGAAAGTCTAGAGGGTGAACGACCTGCCAGCACACAGACCGCACAGCGGCAGGTGCCTGATGAACTCAGCCGTGGAGAGGAAGTGCCAAGCCAGGGTCTCAGACAGCCGTGGTGGGCGGTTCCTGCAAGGCTGGCCTGGCTCGGGTGGCTTCCCACAGGCGGTGCGGGAATGGGCTGGCACAGGGGTGGGCTGTTTGGGAACCCTACACTGCTGGACAGAGCCTGGATCCCAAGGGGGCCTTCGCATCCCTCCGGGTACTAAACAAGGTCCCCTGGTCGCTACAAACGCAGACACATAAACTCGGCACCCAGAATCATCCCTAGGTCCCACCCAGCAAAGCAGAGGAAAACAACACACAAATGCCAAGAAGCTGGTGAGTTCCTTTTCTTTTTATTGGTAAAGTAAATATAATTTTGTGAAGGAGCAAAGAAAATATACATAATTGTAACATATGTACACCAGCTTCATAGATTTTTAAATTTCAAATGTACACAAATGTTGATATGTTATTAAAAGACATTTTATGTAGATGTACCAATGTACAGTTTATTTACATACATTCATAGGATGTGAAATAAACCTGTCAAAACAAGCTAGTTCATCTGATATTAATTTCTAGACAAAAGAAGGAATGCGTTTCTAAGTCAGGGTTGGGAGGCTCTACCTAGCTGTTCTGCCCCAGTGCAGCCTGTGCCCTCTCCTCCCCAAGGTGACCCTAGAAGCTGGTGTCTACAATTGTCTGGGAAACGGAGGGGATGAGCCACGTTGGGCCCAGACGCTTATGGCTCCGTCTGTCTGTTTCTCCTGCCCCTTTAACTCAAGCACATGCACTGCCGGCCCCCAAGGGGGGCACTTTCACCTCTCCCCACATTAGGCCCTGGTGGCCAGGCCCTGCCCCACACTGGTGGCCCTGCTGATACCCTCTGGTGACGATGCTGAGCGAGGCATCTGGGACAAAGCGGTCCTCACGCCACAGAACAGCTCTGTACATCTGGCCTACTTCCTTCTTCCCAGCACGGCTCCCTGTGGGAACCACACGTTTCAAAACTGCTCATTTCTTCTTGCCCAGCAATAAAGTGCAGCCTCAGCCCAGGCGGGGAGCCCAGTGGGAGAAGGGCCAGGCCCCAGAACTCTGCCTCCAGCCGGCAGCTACAGCAGAGGCCCGGACACCGCAGGAAGGCACAATGGCACGGAGGCACAAAGGCCTGCCTCCAGCCCCGTGCACTGGGGACCCTGGGGACACAGCCCCAGGGACGCGGTGCACAGCTCCGTCTCCCCGGGAAAGGCAGCGGTGGCGGGTTCTGGTTCACACCTCCCATGCTTCAGAAGGTGGGCTGGTAACACTGTCACGTCCCTCTGAAGAAGGCAAATAAATTATTGCTGAAAGGCTGGCGTGCGGGGCTGTGGGTGGGGGTCGGGGCGCTCAGTTCACCGCGCACACCGTGCGGCTGCCCCGTGGGAAGCGGTGCACCTTCACGTGCTTGGACAGGTGGTCGCTCCGCGCGAACTTCTTCTCACACACGGGACACTGGTAGGGCTTCACGCCCGAGTGCGAGCGCCTGTGCCGCGACAGCTCGTCGGAGCGTGAGAACCTGCGGGACATGGTGCGGTCAGCAGGGCCTGGCACACGCGGGGCAGCCGCACGCTCAGCGAGACAATACCAGTTCTTAAAATGTCAAACTACTCCTGAGCCTGCTGGTAATCATCACTGTCCCACGCGTCCGTGCCCCCACAGGACGGCAGAGCCACCGAGGCCTGTGCTAGCACCGCCATCCGCTCTCCTGCGCCCACTCTCAGAGCCTGGCAGAGCCACTGGTCCACACTGCAGACAGGGCAGGATCTCAGGGCTAGTGGAGCCCAGGTCACCCAGGCTGCTTGTCACTGACCTCGGGGACTTGGCGCTCTCTCCCAGCAGCAGGACCCCTCCTCCCCCACCTAGTCCCCACCCACTCTCCTCTCTGTGCTACATCTACGTTGACCTTCCCTCAGTTCCTCTTGCCACAGGACACATGCACATCTGTTCCCTGCTCTCTCCCACCCACCTCTCAGAGCTCAGCTCACAAGTCACTTCCGCAGGAAAGCCCTCCAGGACTGCCCCAGTCCTAGGCTTCCGCCACCTTATGCATTTCTCTTCCCTTGCTCTTGCCGATGCTGCAATTTTAAATTAGTTTCAACTTTTGGATGATTGTCAGTCTGTCCCACTAGACCGTCGGCTCCATGAAGAAGGATATGCCTGTCTGGTGCCCTGCGGTCTCCTCCATGACCAGCCCAGTGCCTGGTGCATGGGAGGTGCTCAGTAAGCATATTTAAATCAAAAAGTGGGCACAGCAATCACCCCCAGAAGGACAGACAGCCGTCACAGGGCAACCTCAGTGCACACACATACACGTGCACACATGCATGAACACACATGCACATACAGGAGCATCAGGCCTAACACCTCATTCCTGGACCTGGCACCACATGGTGAGGCAGATTAGGTGGTGTCCTGGAACATCAGTTTTCAACCCAGCTGATTGGCAAGGGTAGTGGCCCAACTCTGCCCTGACCCTGTGGGAAGAGGCTTTGATTCTGTGGCCTGAGGTAGGGCAGGAGGAGCCAGCAGAACTTGCGCTGGGCAAGGCTCAGGTGGGCAGCAGGAGGGGCCGGTGGGATACGGACGTCAACCTCGACTGCTGGCCCAGGGTCCTGCTCCCAGACAGCAGACAGTTTCTGCACTTGGAGACTGGCGCTACAACCCAACCCCAGTGTGCTGACAGTGCATATCTTTGGACCAAATGAAGCCCAACTGTCCTGTCTGATGAGGAAAGTGAGGCTCAGAGTGATGAGGACCTGATCTAGGGGCACCGATAAGACAGAGCAGCTGAGGCCAGAACTAAGGTCTCAGCACAGCCCCCTCGTACCCTGCCCTGCCCTGGTAGAAGCAGATGGCCTGGACTCCCAGCCAACAGATGCCCCCTGGCCACCTCCACAACACCTGGCTAGGTGTGTCACTGGAGCCCTGTGCCAGTGAAGAAATGGGATAAATGTGCCCAGTAGTCAGAGCCTGGACCTGTGCTCCTGGATGAGGGCCACCTGCCCCTAGCTGGAGGTGGGCACACAGCTTCTGAGCAGGAGAGCTGGCCTAGGGCATGGATAGGTGAAAGCTACAGAAACAGAGTGTCTAGCCTCCCCAGGCACCAGGCACTAGGGCCGCCCAGCACCTTCCTGGCCAGGCAATCAGGATCAGTCCTGTTGGACTGAAAAGATCACAGCAAGGGCTCAAAGAGGCCAAATCACACAGCCCATGGGATAGCAAGATCCAGGTCCTTGCCTTGACAGTCCCCATGCCACTGGCGCCCTGTGTGGTCCTGAGCAAACAATTGAAACATCCTGGGCCTCAGTTTCCTCACTCATCCCATGATGACCTTAGGACTGGTAACTGCCTTCCAGGACTCATTTGGAAGAAGCCAAAGCAGTGCCACAGGGCCATAGCAGCCCTCTGGTCATGGGGACACCTGAGAGGACAGGGGGCTGAGAGCCAGGCCAGAGAACGAGCTGTCCTCAGCCCCAAGCCCCTCCCTGCTGCCACAGGGTCCTGGTACCTGGGGGGACTGTCCCCTGCCTCACACCTGCATACCATCTTTCCCCAAGCAGAAGCCAACAGGGAGACCTAGGGACTACAATGGGGGAGAAGTGGGGACCAGGTGGTTAAGACGTAGCCTCTGCAGACAGTAAGCTCTGCCACTTACTGACCAGGCAATCTGAGCACATTGCCAAGCTCCCTGAGACTCGGTTTTCCCACCTGGGGACAGGGAGAATCACAATTCCATAGGACTGTGAAGACTGTAAAAGCAACAGGTGTTTAGAGCAGATGGTTAGATCAGCGCAGGCAGCGTCTGAATTAGCCCTGCGGAGGGTGGGAGGGTGCCGGGATCCCGCCACAGAGGGGAAGGGGCAGGGAATACTGGCTTCAGGACCACAAGCCAGGGGGCGTGGGGGTGAGTGTCGGGCGGGGGAGACCAAGCACATCGTTACACGAAGGCGGGCAGGGTGGGGCCGTGCAGGGGCACTGGTTGGTCCTGTGGGCACAGGACACAGCACCAGGGCCAGCCCAGCAGGGGAAGCGCGCCCCACTCACCAGGGCCGCCAGGAAGGAGAGAAGAAGCTTTGGGAGTGGAGAGCTCCCCATATGGGAGGCAGGCGAGTGTGCGGAGGTGCCACCCAGAGCCCAGGCGCAGGTGGGGACTGCCTGATGCTGGAGCAAGCCACCGCCCCCAGGGGTGTGCAGAGCGGGCGGGACAGAGGCCGGAGTCCGGGGTGTGTGTGGGGTGCAGACAGCCCCAGATGAGCTTCTGTTCCTACCGCTTACCAGCTGTGTGACCGTGGAGGACTTCACTGTTCCGTGCTCCTTCCTCTGCATCACAGGATGACGTGCGGGTGCCTACCTCATGGACTGACTAACACATGTGGCACGCATTAGGGGCTCTTACTATCACCACGACTGCTGTTGTTGGCTTCTTCCCCATGGCCTGTAAGCACGAGCTTGACAGCCCACAGCCTGGTGGGGACAATGTGATACAGGTGGTACCGCTGGAGGGTTGGAGTGGGGCTGAGGCACCCACCTGGGGTTATGCCCCTGTGAGCATGTGACATCATCATTGTGCCTCGGTTGCCCCTCTGTAAAATTTGAATTAGTGTCTACACTTCACAGGGCTCTTGTGACGACACACTCGCTAATGCATGTGGTATGCACAGAACAAAGCCTGGGTCAAAACATTAAGACGTCACTGTAGCTGCCATGGGAGGGTGAAGAGAGGCTGATGCCCAAGCAGAGCCCCAAGGCACAGAGGAGAGGTCAGAATGGCTGGACCCCACTCAGTCAGGGGAAGAGGCAGGGAGCAGACTGTGGGCCTGAGAAGCGCCGAGAGGAATTCAAGTGCACCAAAGTGTGCACCATACACTGCAAGCCTCAGAGTCGCCTCAAGAAGTAATGAGTTCCCCGTGGCAGGACGCTGGCAAGTGAGGGAACTGGGTGGAGGGGTTCTGACTCTAGGAACATGGAATAGTGCCCAGTGGACAGCAAGTGCTCAGTGCACGTGGCATCTCACCATCATCGTCCCACCCAGACTGAGCTGCCCCAAGGCTGGGTCCACTCTCTTCCCTGGCTGCTGCAGGAGCACAGGAGCCCATCTGCCCTCTGGCCCTTGATTGAAGACTATCTACCCACACACATAAGGGGCACAGCATCTTTGCTACATCCGCAGGGGTTCAGGATCCCTGAAGGCCAACCAGGGACTCCCCAAATCCTCAGAGTAAACCCCACCCAAGAGACAGGTGCCCTCCGCTCCTGGCCGGACAGCACTTCCGCCATGGGTGTCCCCACAAAGGCTAGGCCTGCTCCAGGGGAACTTGGGTGAGACTGGAGAAGCCTTTTAGAAGCTCAGGGAATGGCTGACAGCAGGGACAGCTCCCAAGGGCAGCTCCCTGGTGACCTCACAGTGCCAGGCACCCACTGTCCCCACCTCCCCTTGCTATGTGGGTCCTGAGCAGAAGATCAGGGCCAGGGCCCTCACACCTTCTGCCACGAGGAACTCACCACCTCCGGAGGCCACCGTGTGGAGGGTGAAGGTCTGCCTCCCAGAGACACACGGGGCTGAGGGTCCTATCTGCTATCTGGCTCCAGGACAGCCCGGAAGAAGGCAGGCCCCACCTCCTCAAGGAGTGGCCACCTTGACCAAGGACCACACTCCCTCCCCGTGGCCTTGCCAGGCCTCACTCTGACTGGAGGAGCCCTCGCCAGTGCTCAGCACCAACCAGGGGACAGCGCCTGGAAAGCTGGGCCCTTCATGAGCGACAGGACCGGCGCTCTGGAGGCTGCAGTGTGGCTGCACCACCTCTGTGCACCCCCAGGAGCCCCACCAGGAGAATATGCAGGCAGAGTCCAGGCGTGGGGTGCCTCCTGAGATGGGGCGCTCCTGCACAGAGGCCGGGGGAACACCTTCAAGGTCTCTCCTCAGACTCTGACCTCAGGATCAGTGCCCTACAGGACACGTCCTCTCTCTCCTTTCTTCTTCAGTTGAAAGTGCCCCCAAGGCCCCCATTGCCCCCAACGTGCACACTGCCTCACTCGCAGGTCAGGTGTGGGGCCCAGAGAGATGGGCACACCAGGACTGGAACCTGGTGGGGCTGGGTGCAGGCCTCTCAGGTCTGTCTAACAGAAGGGGGTAGGACAGGACAGTGAGCGATGGCCACGCCTGGGAGGCCCTGCACGACCCAAGATGCCATTTTGGAAAAGTCCCTTGTCGGGCCAGTTTGGTGATCACTGGAAAGGGGCCACCAGCGTCACATCTCCCGTGTCACTCACAGCTCCCTGTCCTCAGCAGCCTCGCCAGCCAGGCCCCATCCCCTGCCAACTCTCACAAGCTCTCAGAACCAGAGTCCGGTCGAGAAAACAAAAGCTACAAACTCTGCTCCCTGTGTGCCACGCCCACACACACACGCACACATGCACATGGCAGACATGCATGAAGATGCACACACGCACACGTGCACACACGCAGCCACACACCCCACACGCACACAAGCGAGCGTGCCACATCTCACTCACACTCACACGTGCAGTGACAGCCGCGGCAGCAAAGACGAGGACAGGACGAGCAGCACATGCCGCCCTCCCGGGCAGGCCAGAGACTCTTTTGGGATGGGTATCTCACACTCCAGCAGCCGAGCTCCTGGTGGGCTGCCTGCATTTCAGAAAAAGGTGGGCATGCCCCCCTCCCCCACCAAAGAGGGTGAGCAGCACCAGGATGCGGGTGAGGGTGAGTCACAGGGGGCCATCTAGCTCTGCCCCCCAAGGTCTGGGTGACCCTGGGCAAGGCCCCTACTTTTGGAGGGCTGGTTTCTCCACTGCACCGTGTGGAGCAGAGCGCCTGAGAGGATGGAAGGACCCTGCTGCTTCTGACCTGGCACCACCAGCCTGTCCGCCTTCTTGGGTGGTCTTTTGCAGCTTCCCTGACATACCTCCAGGCACCCAGGGAGGGAGCAAGGGCCAGCCCGCATGCCCAAAGACATCTGTGAGCAGAAGCTAGTCCCATTGGTTGGGGAAGCAGCATTTACAGGATGTGACTCTCTAATCCAACCCCGTGGGTTCAAATCCCATTTACAGAGTGGAGTGACGCTGGGCAAGTGACTTGGCAATCCAAGTCTCTGTGTCCTCACTGAGGACATGTGGGGAGTGGGGGGTACTAACCCCTGTCTCAGCTGCCCTTACCCATGTGACTGCCCCTCCTCTGCAGCTCAGCCCCCGACCCTCACCTCATCCAGCTGGACCAGGAGACCCAGCAGCCACAGCCACAGCCACAGCAAGCCTCACCCGTCATTAGGAAACTGGAGACCAGTCGACTTCCACTTTAGTAATCCAGAGGCACGATGAGCAGGCGTCCGGGTGGCTGTGGCTGCGCTGGCCCCGGCCTGCTCCTGCCCCTGCCCCCCTTCCTAACCAGCCTTCTCTAACAGTGGAGAAAATGGCCTTGGCTGCACACCTAAGCAAGCAGATAAGAACAGGACCTTGCTCACCGTCCAGGCCTGTCACCCGCCATACTGACCTCCAGCCGCAGCCCGGCCAGGTGCAGGCGAACGGCTTCTCTCCAGTGTGCCGGCGCAGATGGGCCTTGAGGTGGCTGCTTTTGGTGTACATCTTGCTGCAGCCAGGGAAAGTGCATTTGTGCATTTTGATGAGTTCTGTCGCTGGGTTCTTGGGGAACTTCTGACCCATGAGGAGGCCAGCAGGGCTGGGCCCCAGGGATCCTGACCCAATGGGCTTGGCAGCGATGGGCACGGGGGCGATACGCACAAACTTTGAGGGCAGGTTTAAGCTGGAGGAGGGTACCACCTGGGGCACGAGCGCAAAGGTCTGCCCCTGGATGTTGACCAGGAGCTGGGCAACCTTGATGTTCTCCGGGGCCTGCCCAGGGGAGGCGGGCCCTGTGCCCGATTCCTGCTTCACCGGCATGGGCTGGATCTGCAGCAGCACTGGGATGGGGCCATCGGGTGAGGGGACCGCCCCTGGGCCCTGGGCACTGCCCGCACTGGTGCCGTCTGGGGGAGGAGTGCAGCGCTTGGTCCCCCCCGACTCGGGATGGAGGTGACTCCTGTGTGGCCCGTCTGAGAGCTGGCCGCAGGCTTCCAAGTCCTTGCTGTTGCTCTCCAGAACCTCCTTTACCCCTGGCTCCATGTTCTCCTCCAGAAACTCTTCGATCTCCTCCAGGGTGGGCTGGAAGGGCCTTGGGACGTCATTGGGGTCACCCACAGGAAACTCAGGGAAGCAGAAATGCCCCCCCTTCATAGGTGCCTGCGCCTTCCGCCAGGTCCCCCATGCCATGGGGCCACTGCTGGCCCCAACGCTGCCGCTACCACCACTGCCCAGCGTGGCCTGGGACAGCAGGAAGTCCAAGATGCTGTCCTGGCCCTCGGTGCCTGGGCTGCCACTATAGCAGGAGCAGAGGGCTTGCGAGTCAGGGCTGGCGCAGGAGCAGGGGCTGGAGGAGTCGCTGTCATCTTCAGAGAGGGGTGAGGGCAGCATGTGGTACGCACGCCGGCCAGACAGCCTGTCACCCAGATAGCCCACAGGGCGTCTCCGCGACGAGAAGTTCTCGTCCACTGGAAGTAAGTGGTCCACCATGCTTGCCTGACCGTGCCGGTGGCGGCTGCAGAGGGAACAAGGGAGGCCTGGTCAGAATGACGCATGCTCACCTGCCACCTCGTGGGCTGACAGCCCCCACCCTTGCTGCCTGCCCATAGCCTCCTGTTGCCAAATGCCTGGATCCTGCCTCCGTCCCATGGGAGCACTGTGACTGCAAGAGTGTTTTCTGAAATTGCACCACCTGTTTGCAAAAGAGCCCTCTCCAAGCCCATTGCACAACCTGGGGCACTTGTGGTTTCACACAGATTTTCTAGAATGATACTGGAAAGAACACACGTGTCCGTGAACAACTTGAGTGTGAGTGAGAGAAGAGTACGCGCAAGGCTCTCTGGACCCCAGAACAGCAGGAATCATCCCCCAGTCAATGTAATGGGAGTCACTGCCTGTCTGAGGACACCTGGCCTTAGCTTCCTGCCTGTTGAGTCACAGAAGGGGGTTAGGAGAGGAGCAGTTTTCCCTCTGACCCCCATGTTGTTGGGGCTTCCGCAGGGTTGCCATATTGAGCAAATAAAAATAAGGCTGCAAGTTAAATGTGAATCTCAGACTTTTAAAAATGACCTACTTTTAATATGTTACCAATACTGGGCAGGACTTACTTATATTTAAAAATTATCTTATCTGAGATTCAGATTTAACTGGGCTGGCTGTATTTTAATCTGGCAATTGTAGTTTGGAGACAAAAAGCTTGAAGCCCAGTAAGCACATGCCCTGCGGGCTGTTCCCCGTCTGAAGGGGGACACGCATTCACGCCCCCGTTCTCAGACTCCCCCAAGCCTCGACTGCCTCCTCTGTGAGTGGGAGAGGCAGGAGTGGTGGTGGACAAGGCCCCACCTCTCTGGGGATAATTCTTGGATACAGACGTTGACTGAAGGTCCCAGAGCACCTGCACCTTGGACTTCACAACCTTCTAGTGGGATGGGAGATAAGATCCCCTTGGCCGATGAGGAGGCCGAGCCTCCTGCCCTGCACCCCAAGGCCATGCTCTCTCTGCTAGGACACTCACCGCCTCGTGAATGCTCAGCTAACGCCTGTCGCCCCACTACACAGTGGGCTCCGTGTCTACGCCGTGTCCCCAGTGCCGAGCATAGCACCTGGTGCCCAGGAGGGTCTCACAGAATGTTCATAGCGAAAGAGAGGGCAAAGCTGCGTCCTCTGAAGCCAAAGACCATGCTAGGTCCAGTGTCCAAAGGGAGTCAACAGTGTCTGGCTGTGATGGGGCCACTTCTGTGGACCTTTGCCCCTGCCCAGTGACCAGGGCAGGCTGAGTGTTTATCAGTGCTGGGGAAGGGGAATGTTTTGCATCCGAAGCCAGAGAGTCTCTGCTGCCTGGCAACACCTCTGCACCCACCCCCCCTTCTGTCTCCAGGACATCAGGGACTGGCACCCAGCACTGCCCGATGGTCAATAGGCTGGCGTCATCATAAGCTGCGACCTTGGGCAAGTCCTTGCTCCTCCCTAAACTTGTTTCCTCATCTGCTCCATGTTTCAATGATCTCTAAGATTCTCTCCTGCTTAGGGACCCCAGGACCTTTGACCTCAGTCCCAATTCACCCAAGAAGCTTGATGGAGCTCTAGGAAACAGGCAAGGTCTGTGCCCCAGGGCACTTTTACCAGGAGGACACCTGCCTTTTTGGTTTAAATACTCAGCTAAGGATTTAAATCTGGGAGTGTGTTTTAAAATACACACTCTACACCAAATCAGGTGCTGAGAAAGAATGAAAGTGCTGGATAGTGAGAAGGACAGTGAGGCTGGCCAGAGCCCACAACTGCCCTAGGGTTCCCCACCCGTCAACCACCCTCCGAGCAAAGGCTGCACTCCTGTGTCTTCAACTTATCAGGTGGGCGAGCTCGGGCAGGTGGCACAACCTCTCTGTGTCCCTGTGCTGGTCTGTGAGATGGGGGTGCTGCCAACAGTGCCTCGCTCCCAGGGCACTGTGAGAACCCAGTGAGCTAACACATGCTAACAACTCCTACCAGGTCTAGCACACACACAACCAGCCATTAGCATTCAGCTTCAAACACGGTGGACAGGCGTCTTTCTGCCCTCTGCTGTGATGCTTGGAAGCAGGGGCTCCAACCTCCCTGGGACCCAGAACAGGCCTGCTTAAACTCTCCCGGAAATGTGATCACCAACTGGATATTCCATGATATTAAGCAATTACTGTTAACATTTTTAAGGGTGAGGAGGGTGCTGTGGTTACCTTTTTAAAAGGGTACAAACAGATATTCACAGATGAAACGATATAAAAAGAAGTCATGGGGAAAATAAGTACAAGAAGGTGGACATGGAAGAAAACCACCTCCCATGGCTGCCCGAGTCACTGTGACTCAGTCTCCTGCAGCAGCCCAGCACCTGGGCCCTGCCCACCCTGGGTAGACTCCCTTCCAACGGCCCCACTCCTCCCCGGTGCTGTGCTAACCTCACCTAGGGCCCCGGCCTTTCCCTCTGTGTAGATCCCTCTTCCCCCAGCACTCCAGGTGGGGCTCCTTACTTAGACCTCAGTGCAGAAGTCACCCCCTGTAGGGACCATCCTTCCCCTGTTACGTCACCCCATATTAGATTCTTTCTAGCAGGTGCCACTGTGGGGAACTATCTTGGTCACGCGTTTGTGTACTTCATCCCTCGCCTCCTCCCCACCAGATGTGAGCTATTCTGACTGTTCACTCCGCAGCTGTATCCCAGGGTCTAAAACAGGGCCTGGCAGAACGTGCTGAATGAGTGAGTGAAGGGGGGAGCGGGGGAGTATGGAAGGGGTGGGGGTGGAGCCCAGGAATGCTGTGGCCCGGGTCAGCAACAGGGTCTTAATGCAGGGCTGGGCATCCCAGAGCAGGGACACTGAGGCACTGAGAGCCGAGCCAGGGCTCTGGGGCTCTGCTGCAAGAGCGGGAATTAAAGAGAGGGCGAGCCAGGGTGGGAGCAGGCTCGGCCCCTAAAAACAGCAGCACGTGGCGCGGGCAGAGGCTCAGGCTGCGTGCAGGGGGAGGGGACACGCTGTTCCGGGCATCGTCCCCAGCCAGCCGCCGGGCTCCGCCCCCTCCCCGGCTCGGCCAGGCCTGCTGTTTATCCTCCCGGGGACACAGCGGCTGCAGGAACAACATGTAATTGATAACAAGCCGAGCGCCGGCCAAGGGCTCGCCATTGGGTCAGCGCGCAAATCACGGGGGTGGCGGTGGGGGCCGCTCTTCAAAATAAGAGTCTTCGCTCCTGCGCCGCTCGCAGGTCCCCGAGTCCACGAGTCCCGCGTCCCCGCACCTGCAGGGCGGCGGGGCGTCCCCACAGGCCATTCGGTCCTCAGGGAGGAAGGCGATTTGAGGAGCTCAGACATTCGGGGATTTTGTCTCCTCCAAGGACCGTGGGAGAACACAGCCGCTCCGTGTCCTCTGGGAGAGGTGGCGGGGGGTCCGCGGCAACATCACAGAGCGCAGGGCACAGGGGGGTCTCCTCCACCCCAGCGCCGCCCCCTCCGGCCGTCCGGCCGGCAGCGCTCGGGCTCAGGACGGGGCACCCCGAGGGGTCGCAGCACGAGGCGTGTGAGCGTGTGTTGCGCGCCGGCGTGTGCCCGCGTGGGTGGGAGCGCGCGTGGGGCAGGAGGCGCGGACGCCAGTTCGGACCCGCGGAACCCCGGGGC